CCCTCCTTTTCATTCTCTATAGTGAATGGCAAGGATACACTGTTGTCAAATTTAAGTTTAGATTTAGAGAATCGACACCAATATATTATTAAAAAATCATAATAATCTTGAAAATTCTCCAAAGATGAGCCACATTCACAAATGTTATGAAAACGATTTGGTACAGCGTAAGTTTGTAGAAGTGATGAAAAGTGTTGGAAATTAGCATAACATACAAAACGTTATAGTAAATTTATAAAGACTAACCAGTCCCTTAACCACGACCACATATCACACAACGTTGGCCCGGCATAATGGTGTTTTGTAAACACTTAATAATAGCGTCCGTATCGCAATCACAGTTTCACTAACCACTAGGATGTAGGAGAAAAACACTCAACTCGACGTCTGACTGTAGCTCAGGAAACAAAAACACACAAAATTGATCAAAACCCGACAAACGCAAGCGCAAGCCACGAAGACAATCAATTCTGTATTTCTGTAAGACGGCCATTTTGACAGCTCGCCCATGGGTATATTCCGTAATATGTACCAGTATATTGGCCAGTGCTAATGACGTCATGGATGGACGCTATACTGGTGAATTGTTCCGAAATATATTGGCCAGTGCACTAACTTCATAAATCGACGAAATATTAAAAATAGTGCGAATAAAGAAGATTTTTTATTCACTTCATCAATTAAAATTAATTCTTTTTATTCGGATACCTTTATTGTTCTTTAAATAAAAAAGAAAAAAATTGTGTGTGTCAGCTCCGACGCACGACTGAAGTTTACTCCTTAAGTTCGATAGTCTAACCAGACGCAAAAAAGTTTAACTTAAAAAAAAATGGTTGCCTGTAAAGTCGGTTTTACGGGCGAAGATTTTACGTGACAACGTCTTTTTCTCGGTAGAATATTTATTGATATGAATATAATTAAATTGCACAATAGGAACAAGGAATTGAATGAAAATAAGAATTGCACAAATTTTAACTATAAAAATATATTTTGTTTACTAAAACATTGTACATGTAAACTTAAACTTAACACGAGAGACTCATCGTAACGTTACCGAGCGTTACACTTTTTCATAAGTGACTCCCAGCCGCAACCTAATTTAAGACGTTGTCACGTCAAAAGATTGATACTGTATGAAAGGGTAAATTAACAAATTAATGAAAATAATATACATACATAAATATATATTTATTCATTTCATATACATTTATTATAACTAATCGATGAAATATTTTACATTAAACTTTTTACAATCGTCAATTTCAGATGTGCATAAATATATCATTAGGAATGTTGATAAATTATGTAATTATTATTATCAGACTATTATCATTTTTTAAATATTAATAAATCAACATTGTCTGCATTATTAATTACAGTGGCAAGTAGTTTGTGGTAACTAAAATAAGACACATGGACGTTCGTAGATACGTGGTTCACGAATCTTGAAAATACCGCATCAATGGTTGTACCATACCTCGTTGTCCCCATTGCTCTATCAAAAACAATATCTAAATTCAGTTCAGATTAAAACAAAATATTAATGTCAATCCGTCATCTTTGTTTGTCAAAGCTGCGCGACATAGGATGCGCACCAAAAACGTAACGAGGTCATTCATCGATAGATTTTACTCCTCACATTTTTCTCATACCGGGCCCCTTATATATGCAAATCAATTCTTAAGGAGTACGCACGCTCGGTCATACGTCATATTCGTTTTCCCGGTAAAAATATGGTAGCATACCAGAACAATATGGTGTCGGATTCGTGACGTCATTACCACTGGTCAGTATACTGTTGTACATTTGACAGCTCTGACAAGCTTTGAAGAAAATTACTTCATAGACACGACATCTATTGACTTTTTGAGATATTACTAACAAGTTTAAAACGGGATCAGGGCGCTAGATGATGATACTCTGATTTCTTTGAATAATTTTCTAATGTTCTATAATGCAATTCAACTAAGAATAGGACCGACTGGGCGCCATATTGTGATGTCATAGCTGTCAATTCAAACCAAATAGGTAGAGTGAGCAAAAAAAAGTTTTTATTTAATAAAACTTATTTACTAAGATTAAGTGAGAAAAAACATCAGATTATTTTTAATAACATTTATTTACTAAGATTGAGAAAAAATACAACCGATTTTTAATAATATGTATTTATTAAGACTGTGAGAAAAAATTCACAGATATCGTGCCTCTCACGACCTTCGAAGACATAGAAATGAATATAGGCAAACCAAAAATGTTAAATCACCCCTCTGTCCGTCTAAATTTAGTTTCACAGAACGCTATTCTAGATAGTCCGTACCGTCGTATCTTAACACAAAAACGACTTCTGACAATAAAACCAACACCTATTATTTAAAAATAGCTTTTATTTTATTTTATTATATTCGAAGAACATAAAATTATTAATATTAATGTTACAACTGATATTAATACACCGTATAGTCAAACTAAATAATAACGCACTCAACGCACAAAGTATTTATCGAGATCAGATTTATCATAAGAATTATTTACACCAGCTTCGTCCTCACTCGAAGATGAATCGCCGCCGCCACCACCGCTACCGATACACTTGGAATCGAAGGCGAATTTCTTCTGCATCTTATTCTTCATTTCAGCCTCGGGTCTTTGTAATTCTTTCGGGATATTCATATAAGCCATGAATTCGATCTCAGAATCCAGAGATAATCCCGTACGCGTTATTTTGAAGCCTGATATCGATATTATCGCAAACGCATGTATAAACTTTGATTCGATTATAAGCTTTTTCCATTTGACAGTATCACATTGATTCCTATCGGGATTTTTGAACTCCATCAGTTCCACGTGTATCCTACTAGGAGTAGTCTGTATGTTTGGCACCTTCACATTGTACACCCCCAGAACTTTTCCTTCAGGAGTATCCTTCGTCGCCGACAATAGTTTATCGCGAAGACTGAACCAACATTTGTGCATTTTCAATTGAAATTTATTCATTGTTTCGGCAAACGGTTCCGTGGGCATGACTCGTTTCAAATCGTTCACCAGTTTCGACTCGACGAATTCTTTCATCAGCAATTTACTATTGTCGTGCCACCAGTACTCCACCGACGGCAGCAACATGGATACTTTATGCTTCGGTTCGAGATGGCTAATGTCGTAGATCTTTTGTCTTTCGCTGAACGCGTCGGCACTGTTAACGAACGCCCCAAACATATTCGTCACAACAGCCAATCGTATTGGGGTCTTGTAATTAAACTGTGTGTAGTGTACTCGCCGAAGGGGGACCTTGCTAAGTTTCGTTCGCAAAGCCCTAACATCACTGACGCTCCTCAAAATAGGAGGCAAATCCGGACGCTTATCATTACTGCTTGAAACAAAGTCCTCAATGAATGCAGTCAAAGCTTCAGCATCCTTGAACATTCCACTCATCGGCTTCACTATATACACACTCGTCGCCGAACCTCTTGACAAGACTTGATCTTCATCGGATGAATCTGACGAAACCGCGTTACGATTACAAAGTTTAGTCTTCTTAAAGGCCGGAAAGTCGTCATCTACCGCTATGGCCAATATTGAATCCAGTGTCGCCGTTTCACCGATCAATTTTACAGATGTAGTTTTCGAAGAACCTGCTCGCGCTATGGCCATCTTCCCCTTGACTGCGGTAGCTCCGATTTGTTTCGATGATTGGTTATCGCTCGCACTATCCATATTTATTATCAACGGATACACACAAGCAAATTAAATGTTAAAAAAATATTTTATGTTAATGTGAACAAGTTTCAAGCTCGGCGATCCAGGACGCACTGTGGCATGCACGTGACGCCTAACGTCTATACAATAGATCCTTCCGAGACCGTTTTCCGTTCCCACCTCAGGCTCCCGCAGGCTGCCGCACGATGTTTATTACCCTGCGCGCGCACATCTGCACAACAGACGGCGTCCTTATTTTGGGTCAGTATTGAAACATGCCATAGTTCGCATGTATTTCTTAGATTTCTCTACAACGGGTGATGTCAAAGGCGATGCGTTCTCAATGCCGGGCCGATTCTGTTGTTTTTTTTACGCTTCCTGTCGCATTTGGTCGTGAACATGAGTTCGAGCGGAGATCGCTTCATGAATACTGCATCGATAGATTAACCGCTTCGATTAGTAGGCCCCATATTTCTATTCATGTATTCTCCATCTAGTCCATGAGTGTTCTTCAAATACTGAAGCACGACGCTGGCCTGAGAATCTCCAGCAAAGTTATAGTTAAAGTCCCCGCACACGATCAACGGACACCAATATAGATCACCGTGTCTACACGACTGTAAGTAACGCCATAGCGCCCCGTGTGAAACGCCACATAGATTCGTCGACGAGATCCATCAGCTTCTGGCCGGTGATATTTGACTGGCAATAGAATGCTATCAAGGAAATCATCTGTTCTTGTCCGTATTTATCTTTATGTTTCATGAAAGCGCAACACACTTCCCCGTATGGCGCTTTTACTGTGTTCACGTCAACATGATGGCACGCCGTAAAGCTAGATTTCAATGATTCGTATATCGCCACACCGCCTCCACCGATCTTACTGTTGATATAGTTTATATGATTCGCAGTCATTTCTTGTATCTCCGCACCCTATTCCGCTCGTGCCGTGCATTCACGTTTCCGACAGTGCCAAGAGAGAAGCGTTCTTGATAACAGCATCCGCCGAAATATCATTACTGTGCGCGCAAACACTCTGCACATTGAACGAAGCTATAGAGACTTCGCTATTCTTAGTAGCGTCACTGACAAAACTGTTACATCGATCATAGATGGTCATCACTTGTTTAGTCCCCAAAAGTTTGAATTCGTTCTGCAATTCGACTCGGCAATTGTCTCTCATACAGTGTCTTCTTACAGTTGGTAAGAAACGACCCTTATAAACTGCGAGCCCGAGACAGAGCGACATACACCAGCGCAAGTTCGTGACTTCTGTCATATTCGTATACCACCATATCGAATGAGGCTCATTGCACCTTATGAATAGTTTGCGCGTTACTCGGCAACAACGAAAACTGTCGCCGCTTAACCTTGATTATTCGCGATTTCATGTTGATCGGCAACTCGCGTCTCACAAACGGCGTATATCTAAGATCGATTCTGTGCTCGACCATGTGTTGTTGACATTTTAGACGTATCTTCTCACCGCACGCCGGATCATCGAACAGCAACCACACTCGAGAAACATACTCCTCGCCATTCTTCACCGTCGTCTAAATATGTTTTAATATACCGATAGCGCCATTAACAATGCGAACAGCCGTGTCCAAGTTTTGCGTCACCATGTAGGGCGTACCTAACACGAGACACAATCGCCTCGGGAGATATCCGGTAGCCGTATTCTCCATTTTGTTCAATTTCTGCAACGTTCTCGTACGCTGATGGTTATTAGCGCAGCCGGTGATTATATCCTCTGCAAGGACTTCCGTCATGCCCGTGGTGTCGGCAGCCGTGATGCAGGGTAGGGTAATAGCCGAGATTGTGCCACAGCATTTGATCCTGCAACATGTTCGCCGGACGAGAGTACACAGTCTTAGCATTCACGGGAGGCAATTGTCGCAAGTCGCCGCAGAATACGACGTGGAAGGCGCCAAATCTATCTCGAGAATCGCGACCGCACGCTTTTAATCGGTCACCCACGCGATTTAAAATGCTGTTGCTCATCATACTCACTTCGTCTATAATAATGGTGCACACTTCTCTCAGGTCATGTCATGTCTCATGGTTTGTAATTTATCGAACGGCATTCTCGCACCTTCTCTCGCGGTGATTGGGATTTTCAAAGAAGAATGTATCGTAGTCCCGTCCACGTTGACTGCTGCCTTTCCTGTATTAGCACACGCCAAGTATGCACACTTGGACGTATTACGTCTGGCTGTGAACCGATTGCTCGCCTCCATCATGGCTTTCAAGAGGAAAGTCTTGCCCGACCCGGCCGGTCCACAGAAAAATATTTGCAACGGTTCGCCTCCATATATCAATCGGGTCATGTACTCTAACAGCAACCCTCTCTGACGATAATTTAACTTTCTTACCATAGCGCAAAACTCTTCGTGTGACATGGCGCTCTTCACTGTCCTGACAACTGTTTCGCGCTGAATAGTATTGATGTCCTGATCGTTCACAAGGATCGTATCACCGCCATCGCGTACAAAATCTTCAAACAGATCATTTGCATTCATATTGTATAGTATCGCGAATGATTTAACTAATAACATCTAACCGCAGTCCGCTCATATTTTGCCCTTCTCGATCTCAAAGTTTCCTCATTATCCTATATAGTAAGGTATGCATCGTCATTGAGAAGATTCAACTCTTCGCTTCTAAACGCCCAAAATAGTGTTGTCATCTCGTGTTTGTAATTCAATTCATTACCGCGATCGAAATTCACCCACTTGATGACTTTACTTTTCTTTCGCTTTCTATACGTGACCCGGACGATCGACGAGTCTGTGATCACGCCATTCACATAGTCCGTATCCTCTTCTTCGTTCTCTTCATCGAATAACTCTTCGTCTCCTCGCATCATATTATCGTTCAAGGTCCGTGTCTCTACGCGATCATAATTAGCAACAAAATCAGCCAACGTAACATTTTCGAACTCCGTCGGACGCTCTTCGTATCTCTCAATTATATTCTTCTTCCAAACATCAGTCGACTCAGCACTAATGTCCTCTTTATTCATTTGTTGTCGTGTTTTCTTACATTTTAACCTCTCGCTGGGATGTTGCGTGGGTATGAAGAATACTTGGCGAGATGCCTCACTCATCGGCAAGCGCAAAAGAAACCACGCCGCTTCCTGCACACACATCTCTATATTGTTCAACGCTCGCTTACCCACTTCTTTCATGCACTCCTCTTAATCCATATCCGGATACTCGTCGCGTAGCCGCACCAATTCCCTGTGCAAAGATGAAAAGCCTCTGTCGGATTTATTCACATATTCAGCTACGTAAGCCGCACATGTATATTCATCCACGATATATTGAATGTCATATTTGATTGCAATACCGACAAAATAGTAGGATTGAAAGGACTGGTCATAAGATCGCGCATTGATCGTCTGTACATGACCGTGGGGCGATGAATACCGTGTCGATGTATTTTTAGATATTCATCTTCACTTTCAATGCTGTTAGTCGCCCCGAATTGTTCGATGGTGTTAAATGCCATTTCGTCGTCGCTCTCACTCTGTTCCAAAACCTCTCGCAAACTTTTGTAAAGATCGCTCAAAGCTTCAATCCTATCTGCTTCCGTAACCGGCAGTAATATCCTCGTCGACTTCATCGGCCAAAAGGGAGCGCCAAAAAGACAAGTCCTGGTATTGCGCTTAAAACATGCATGTGTGTGACGATGAGTCTGTAGCTTTCTTTCCGAACCGATTTGGCTACTGTCCGCGGTACACAATTCATCTATTAACTCTATAGTTTTCGGAACATGTTCCCCGTTGACAAACCTCCTCTCGTCGTCGGGTGGCGCATTTTCTAGCCAAAGCAACATGTGACAGTGCGGACTGCCACGATGCTGAAATTCAACCCGACGAAAATATTCTATCAGTTTATATTTGCCAAACGGACCCTTCTTCAATTTTATCGCATTCACGATGCAACCGACGAGTCGGTCGAAATATAAGCAACACAACACCAGATCGCCATTCACAAGCTCAGCACGCTGAGAGCCCGTCATCTCTTCAAGTATAATGTCGTCAATAGATTCATCTTCGGGAATATGATGTTTAAATCTATAGACGCACTTCATCAGTGGCGCCCAATAAATTTCTGAAGCACTGAGAGTCAAAAATACGGTTTGCTTACCTAACTGTCGCATCATAGCGAATAGATCATTCTTTCGTCTCTGCCAATATTGTATAGAATTGGGCAAGCATGAAAGGAACGATTCGTTTCGATTCATAGTCTCGCGCAAAAATTCTGGATCATCCAGGCGTTCTCTGGTTATGGGACATGTCGAATCTCGAACATTTCGAAACATCAAGTTGAAGCTGTTGATTACCTTCAAGCGCATAATCCTTGCCGCCATATATAGTATGTGATTTGATCGCACGCCTCGTCTGTCTATGCGTCTAATCTCACTGGTAGCCATCTAAAATGGCGTTACCGGAACTTTGAATTCCCGCGGCTGGAAATAGTATATTGTTGGAAAGGATAGCTCCTCAGCATCACCGTCGAAAGCCAAAGCCAACGGCTTCGTGTGTTGTCCCGGTGCCATCTCCAAGATATAATCTTCGCCCCAGAACAGAGTTTCTGGAATTTTAGATAACATTTCTTCACCGCACTCTTGGGTATGCCTATTATCTTGAACAACCGTACACTGCCGTCTGATCTCGTGAATAATTTTATATGGACTACTGGTCTTTAGCGCGTCTAAGTCGTCCGGCAGTAGGCATGGCACTGGCCAAAGGCACTGGCTGACCAAGCGGCTCGTTTACAGAACACAGATGTGCAAATCGTCGCGTGACCTACATCGCCAGTGATATAAACAAGATTATTTATTTTCCTTAAAAAAAATAGTTTCAATAACACATAAAATATAATCCTCACAACTAAAAAAATCCCTCATTAACACATAAAAAGTTACTACTCTTCAATACAACTCATAGGAGTCCGCTAAATAAGATCGCCACCGAAAGGGCGCTACTAGAACTTAAACTATAAAAGATAATTTAATTCTGTTTTTTGCAAATTGTACCCTAATTAATCCCCTCGGAACGTATTTTGAATTAAGACTCTATCTATAATAGTCTCCGAGTAATCGCCGATTCAAGTCAAAATAACCCGAAAATATCGCGTCATTTTTCGACATTTTTGCATTTTTTTCAAAAAGTTTTCAATTTGTTCAAATTTTTTTTACATCATATTGTAGATCTCGCTAATACGCATTAATACCCTAATCGTTTACGTAGCTTTAGAATTGACGACACTAGAGCAGAATTTCACTATCGCTGAAAATGCCCCCCTACTACACGATCGAAAAAACATTTCCAATGTTAAAACTTTAATTAGAATCTTGCTCTTCTATTCCGCTTATCTCTGCATTACCGCCGGAGTAGTTATGAATAATCTTGCACTATTACTAGGTCACATACGAACATGCATCCTTTAAGTAAACGAAAGTTTGAAATCGAGTTTCTGAACGCAATTTAAAGTGACATTAGGTCAACCATTCATGGCCAAAGCTCATTATGTGAAAAAAAAATATCAGCCGATATTATTTATCTGTTTGTTTACAAATGTTTGATTTTTATTCTTGAATTAGCGGAGTGCTAAAAAAGGGTTCCAAGATGTTTTTTGCAACCCGTACTTTTCAAGCGACATTTGACAGATTAGGTTAGATTAGATTAGGTTTGACGTTTTAATAACAGTCGTGTGACGTCACACACTAGTAAGACGGCATATTGTCCAGAAAAACGATTTCTCGGCAACTTGAAAATGGAGTTATTGATTTGGTTATTTTAACTGAAATACACAACAGAATGATGAATATCCGCGGACTCCATAAACATTAGTCAATAACGTGAGAACGTTTTCTAAAACTTCTCAAATACCCTACTGTACTTGGCCAATGTGGGAAACTCTAACGCCGTTAACTTTATAATAAAAAAAATGTACTCTTCTTGGCAACATTTTTAATAATTTAAAACTAGCAACACTATCTTATATAGTGTTTGCTGCAACATTTTATTCGATTAAATCTATAATTTAATCAACTAAATTATGAGAATAAAATTACATAATGAAATGCTGCGTATTAAAATAAATAGGAACCTTTATAAACCTGGTTAACTTATATACGATAATACAAGATGTAATAGCATTATAAAAATATGAACAAATCATTGTTTTACATTACCGGTCCTGATGCTGGCAGAATTCTCCAAACATAACATTAAATTTCACTATAGTACTTTTAAATAATCTTAAATGTTCTTACAATTAATAAAATTTAACTTTTCTTTAAAATAATAAACAATTAAAAAAATGGTTGCCTGTAAAGTCGGTTTTACGGGCGAAGATTTTACGTGACAACGTCTTTTTCTCGGTAGAATATTTATTGATATGAATATAATTAAATTGCACAATAAGAACAAGGAATTGAATGAAAATAAGAATTGCACAAATTTTAACTATAGAAATATATTTTGTTTACTAAAACATTGTACATGTAAACTTAAACTTAACACGAGAGACTCATCGTAACGTTACCGAGCGTTACACTTTTTCATAAGTGACTCCCAGCCGCAACCTAATTTAAGACGTTGTCACGTCAATATTGTAGAGAGAGAAAACTCTAGTCATTTAACATTAAAGCCAGAAACATATTAACATGTCGTGTCGTGGCGCGCCAGAAGCACATCGGTTTCAATCATTTAGTATGGTCAGATACATATTTACGTGTCGTGTCGAATCTCTAGCCTCTCTCTCTCTCTCTTACTCATAATAAATGTATGAAACTGATGTGTCGCGACGACACGCCTCGAAGCGTTAATGTGTTACTGACTTAAATCAATCGCCAATAGTAAATCAATCACCTATTAGCAGTCCGTACTGCCACCGCCCCATAATCTTTTTATTCTGTGCTGGGCCCGAGTACTGGTTCATGTCATGACATGGCATAGCCCAAACTCCCATTCATAGGGAAGACATGTGCCCCAGCATTATAGACAGACTTGAATAGGCTGATGATGAATGTTAAATCGATTCTAAATGATATGCGAAGATTGTTTAATATTGTTTTGTTCATTACCGTTATACATCTTATGCCGGCACTTCACTTCGCTCTTCGTGTCTGCTATTTGTAAACTTGACATCAGTTTATCTTCTTCATTCCTTATAAAATATGATAAAGACAGACTGTTGTCAAGTTTACAAATAGTAAATACAACGAGCCAAATGAAGCGAAGTACCGGTGTTACAACACATTAAATAAAAAAGTTAAATCAATGTATTATTTGATATGTATGAAATATGGTGATAAAAATTAAATACCTAAGTAAGTAGAAGTACCTTATTTTTATAGAATATATTGGTCTAAAATATTTTTTTCAAAATCAATCAATTTTGACAACGAATCGATTCAGTAATCGAATAATAATCGTATAGCTTCTCTCTAGTTAAACTAACCAAACGAAGCACGCTATGCTATAGATTGTCACTTGTAACGATCGAAGAGTGGTTGAACATCGAGGAGAGGTCGTGGAGGATTTTACCATCTAGCCACCATCGCCGTTCGCCAATTACACCATGGCTGATACCGAAAAGGCGCCGCAGCCGCAGCCCCAACAACAGCAACCAGAACAGCAATCTCAGCCGCAACAACCTAAAACGGCTAAACAAAAGCAGGTCATCGGTAAGTGCGCTACGCCATCTTAGAGTTGCATTCCCCGGCATTATGTTAACAAAAGCACATGGTCGTAAAATTCGAGATCCTAAGTTTTTTCTACAATTTAATTGATGTTTATGGTTAGTTATACTGCACAAATAAAATTTTAGGGAGTTCATTAATTAAATTACGTCTTGATGACCTAGTTCAACTAGTATTGATCGTATGTTGACCCCGGTAGCTATTATAGGTGTTTCGCATCATGTCATGAAGCGTAAATCAATATCAAAGATGCGTGTTGCACCCACGCCATCTCAGATAATGCGTTATGGATTACCGACAACTGCACTTGCGCGATTATTACAAATACAACTATGTATCTCTGATAAGATTGGCTTGATTGTATAGAAATATTTGATGCAGATCATGAATAGCGATTCAGTGTTGAAATAAAAACATCTAGTTGATGTTAAGGCGTATGGGTCATTTCTAAAATACCCTCGCAGTATATTTATCTAATTTGAATTATTTGTCTACTATTAGAAAACTAAGCATATACATGTTTGATCCTTTCTAATTATGCTTCTATTTTGCTGGCGACTTCTTTGAAAATGACTTTATTTTAAAATTGTACCATAAAAAAATTACCTTAACATATTATTAGCACCTATGCAGTTACAGAACCATTTCTGTAACTGTTTATGATATCTGGGAAGGCATTAACTTATAAATTAATATACACACTTCTACAAAATAAGCGAATTTGTCAGTAAGTATTTCATTAAAAGTTTGAATGAATGGGCATTAGCGAATGTCATATGTTAGAATTACTTTTCTATGGGTGTTACTTGATGTTACCTGTACTTTTAATTTTGATTTTTCCTTAATTAACAGATGGTCAACATATAATCAATACAGTACTTAAAATTACACTTATACTTAAAGTTTAACTTATACTTAAAGTTTAGACAAAAAATAATGAGTTTTGTGAAATTAAAAGAAAATATTAAGAATACTTTAAAAATTTGTCGTTTACTTCCTACATTAAACATTTGTTTTAATATTATTAACATAATTCATACCTTCAACACAATGCCTCTTTCAACAAAAATGTGTAAATTGTATTTGTTATTTCAGCTGAAAAGGTGTCGGGCACTGTGAAATGGTTCAACGTTAAGAGTGGATATGGTTTCATCAATAGGTAATGAAATGGTCAATTAAAATGTATTTATCTTCAAAAATCTTATATATTGTAAAATTGAAATAAGGCCTATTCGCTATGTGCTTTTGTCTGGTGGAAGTGATAGTCATCAAGCTATGTAGTGATCCACTTATTGCTTTATTTTAACACCACTAAAATACTTTGTTCTGAAAAGGAACAATGGATATGCATGTTTCTCTTAAGTTACACACTACAAATGTCAAAAGTAAGTAAGCGAATAGGCTAGCAGATTTCTCATACAATCCCTTTGAATATGACTATTCTGATTCTAATAATAATTAAAATTTTAACAGTACCTAAAACAGTAGGCTAGTTGACACTTTTTGGAAATAAGAAAACACAATAGTTTTTTTTTTCACATAAAAAGCTACAAAACTAATTTTTTAATACATTTTTCATGTACAGACAAAAACGCTGTTGGCCATTTTAGTCTATAGATTTATTTCTACTATGATGTCAAAAAAAAAAAAAACAAACACTTGCAAGCATGTAGGAAATAACCTATCTGAGTAATTAAAAACTGATTTCTCATAGTAATTATCATAATTGTATTGTACGACAATATAAGTCCTACAAGTTTATCATGTGGAAGTCATTTCTTTTTGCAATGACTACTTTGTGTACTCATTGAATAATATTAAAGTTTAAAAATACAAATTACAAATGCACCTACTAAGTCTAAAGTTTAGTGGATTCTGCTTCCACAAATCTGCCATTCAGCATTAATTTATTCAACAAAACCAATAAATCAGAAATTTCTACAAGATACACGAGCATTTAGAAATATTTTACTTAGACAAAAGAAACCACATTAATACGACAATCACGTTTAGTTAGTTGTTTGCGTATTTTATGATGTCACAATCATGATATATAATACAGCATTTTTTAGTGACACAGTATACACTATTTTTCAATTTAAATTACTACAGCGATCTTCTAATTGTATGAAGTGAAATTGATGTACTTAGGTTCCTTATAAGTACCAAAAAATATAAGAAATAAATATTTATGTAGTACAATTTGTCATGAGTCAAATAGGCTAGTACAGTACATATAAATAATAAAATAAATAAAAATAGCCTTTATTCTCTGCTAAGTTACTTAGTAGAGAATAAAGGCTAAATTAAAACTTTCAGTTTAATCACTGACATCGGCCAGTACAATCAGGTTGTCTTTGGACATAGGCCTGCTCCAAATTGGCCCATTGGTTCCTATCTGTGGCTGCTCGTCGCCAACTCTTGGGTAGATCGTCTTCCTATCTTTTGTGGTGTCTACCTCTTCTACGTTTACCATCTCAGGGGTCCACTCCTTGATATCTTTTGTCCACTTGTTCCTCTTCGACCTCATGATATGCCCAGTCCATCTCCACTTCAGCGTTCTAACTTTTCTGGTTACTTTCGGCTTTTTTCTTATGGCAGAGAGACAAACTTTGTCTTTTGAGTTTGACACCTAACATAGTTCTTTCGATTCCTTGTTGGCATACCTGTAACCGTTGTGTTGTAAGGTTTGAGAAGGACCATGTTTGGCATCCATAGTTTGGCATACATAATAGTAGACAAAGAAATGTCCACTATAAGTTTATTTTTGTCGTGTTTGTTTGATTGTTGCATTATTTATACTCATCATATTATGTTAACAGGAACGACACAAAGGAAGATGTGTTTGTTCACCAGACTGCGATCGCCCGCAATAACCCACGCAAGGCTGTGCGCTCGGTTGGCGACGGAGAGGCGGTGGAGTTTGCCGTGGTCGCCGGGGAGAAAGGCTATGAAGCAGCCGGAGTAACGGGCCCCGGTGGCGAGCCAGTAAAGGGCTCGCCCTATGCAGCTGACAAACGCCGCGGCTTCCAACGCCAGTAAGTCATTCATTTGAGACCAAATATTAGATTTTTTGACTTTCATATTGAAGATTATGCAGGCAGTGACATATTGTAAATGTTTTGTTTGTTTTAGATATTACCCCCGTCAAGGCGGCGGACGTGGCGGTGAAGGCGCTCCACGTAGGGGTCGCTTGGGTCGTCGTGGGCCCCCGCCCAGCCAGGGGGGCGCACAGGGTGATGAGGGTCAGGAGGGAAACGGAGCACCACCACAACGCAGGTCAGTTACACTATTTTTAACACCACTAACAGGAAAGAACATGTACCCTAAATAGGAAAACATTATTTCTTTAATAGAAAAAATATCAGAAATATGAATACTATTAAAAATCAGAATTGATTATGTTTTACAATAGTAATCTTACATAGACTTTGCTTTCGGGTTATAAAGTACATAAATAACATCATTATTTAAGTTTCGGATCCTTTTCAGGTTCCGTGGTGAAGATACTGAGATGATTTAGGATCATGTGGTCTTCAGAGTAAATGTCCTTGGTGTGGCTTAGCCCCCTAGGCATAATGTTCGTCGTACTAAAATAACCACAGGAGAAAACAACCAAGGAGCAAACCATCCATCCTCAAATGAAAGGCCTATAAAGTTAATTTTTAAAGATGCCATTAAAGCAAAACGTCCCTAATATATCGTCAACCTTTTGTACCTAATATATTTACTTTTGTTGTAATCAAATGTGAACATATTTACACTTTTTTCCATAATTACTTATGATCAGTTCTATGCTATCAAAATGCTTAGTCTGAAAATAAAACTGTTTCAAACACATAATTTTATTTTTAAAATTTACCTTGTAATTTTAATATGTAAGTATTGTGGTGGTGACCTCCAGCTATTAGTTAGACTGCTTGAGAACTTTTCTTAGGACCTGGGTTAATTCAGGTCAATTAGAGTTTAAGTCAAATCAAATACAATAAATCTGCTGTCAGTAGTGGATCAAATTTGCCTTACACTGGTTTTTCTAGCACCCTGTAAATTTTTGTTCATATTTAAATTTTTTAGGTTTGCTTACCTGGTACTTTAGGAAATATACCAATTGGGGCTAAAAATTTGATAACTTTGGCCTTTTCAGATAGCCTTTAAAAATCAATAATGATAAAGAAAACATAGAACCTGATAACCATGTACTTTTAAAGCCCCATACACCTTACTGACACTCTCAATGAGTGAGTCTGGGTTGTGCTTAGCCAGTTTAATTAAATCATGAAATACCAATTTTTGGTTGGTTGTTTTGCTCCTGCAATATGGTTGTATTAAGATATTTTATTGGTAAACACAATTTAAAGTTCATGTCATTTTTTCTATGATGGACATTTTGCTATGAAGACCACTTGATCTCAGTGGATGGATGTTGGTCATTTACAAATTATTTACTGGACAGCTATTGTCAAAAAATACTAACAAACACAAAAGGAAAACCAAAATAGACATTTAAAATAGCCAAAATAAGTGATGCCATTAAAACTAAAAATGGCTCAAAATATTTTAACTCAGCACTTAACCTCACCCAGAACACTCATTGCGAGTGCAAATGAAACCAAAATAATATATCAATTTATAAATATATCATTATCACATGACTGCAATACGGCCATTCACCTTAAGATACACAATGGTGTGCATATGACTGGGAATTAACCAATGGCATTGCGCAAAATACATCGTGTATGTATTACGAGCAATGCCATTGGTGAATTCATACTGCACGACTCTGGTTCTGTAAACGCAGCTTAATAAGAGATGACACTATGTCAACTGGTGAAGCGTGAGTAGATGTTATTTGAACGATGCTTCTCCAATTCCTTAGAGCAGATGATCCTTGCATTGAAATCAAAACCTACCTTCACAATACCATGAAGCACAAAAAAGAATATTTAAAAGAAAATAAAAACTGATATAAGTACAAGAAATACTCTCCTGGTGATAAATGCACTTTTTTAACATACCATTTATGTCTTATTAAACTATCTCAAATGAGAGGATCTTCTAACATGCATTTGTAAAATTAATGACTTGCTACAACAATCTACAATCACGCAATCGGCACATTGCTTACTCTTTTAAAAGACTGCCTAAGTTTTGCCTAAATTAATGCTGTTACATTCCTTATTCCTTCACTCTGAGATTTTACACAGCAAATCTGTACATAGAAAATCTTATTTCAAACAAACCAAAGAATAATTAGTAATTTATAGAAATTTTCCAGTATTTGTAGCTTTCATGAAATGCAAGTCAAATAAATAATAATTATAACTAGTAAATAACCAACATGTCATGATAATCAAGTAATTGAATTAAAGGCAATCTAGCCATATGTTTTGAGAAAACGGAGCAGCAATGTACTATCGCAGTTTAATGACAAGCTAGATTGTAATACGGCTAAATGTCCCCCATTCATTTAGCCATAATATGTGTGTGTGTGGGTATGAATGGCAGTACTGACTGACACAAAATAGATAGTACAGAAGTCAATCTATGTACAAAGTGCGCTCGAGCAACGCACACCGAACCCACCCACGGATACGATATCTCGGACCGGTTGGAACCAATGCGAGCGCGAAGTTCCATCCCCTTGAGTCATGTGTCCGAGAACTTTTTGCGCAAAAAATAAGTTATTGTTGTAACTATTCCATGGGCGGTGGTTTAAATTCAACATTAAACAGTGAAATTGTCGTTTTCTTAGTTGTAATTAGGGATTTCAATCCGGAAAAATGAATCCGGTGTCATCAACGTTTACTAGTTCTGGTACCAATATACCATTGATGATAGCAATTTTTGGAAAATATAGCGCTGTTGAATGAATACCTACGTACTTTATATACAGTCCAGTTGGTGAGCTTGTGTAGTGGTGGATTACTTGTCTGCTATTCATGATTATTTCCTGACAATTGAGCTGACAAGTGTAGAAGCTGAAAGGGCCTTGTTGACAGCAAGCTAATATAGTTCCATTAGAAATCGACTGGTGTATGACACAATTGACATAAAGTATTTGTTATGTACGATATTTAAGAAAAAGAAAATTAATTATAACTGAATAACTAAAATATACTTTAAAAATAAAAAAGTTAAATGAGATAAAGTTACAATACAAGCTTATATTTAGCTAGATTCATCAAATCATGATGCTGTCTGTCATAAATTTAAGACAAATTGTACATAGACACAATTGGTCTAACTTCCGTCGACAGCAGGGAGAACAATCATTATGTAAGACTAATTTGTTAGCATATTTGTTTCTTAGGTTTTCAAGCACATCACTCATTAAATGAAACAGTTTTAACTGGTTATTAATTTGTTAGCATATTCAAATACTTTGATATTACTGTCATCTCAATTCTCATCTCAATAAATTATATATGATTTAGAATCAGATACTTATTACTGTCATCTCAATAAATTATATATGATTTAGAATCAGATACTTAGTTCAATTATTTTAGTAATTATCTAAATTATAAAGTTACTTACTAAAGAATTCAACTTTCTGAGAATGTGAAAGCTATGAAGATTAAGTTGCCTATTCATTACGTAGTTAAAAGTTTAGGCCTTGTTTAGGATTGAAAAATTACGCCGGATTGCAATTCCTATTTTTATTAAAATAATGGTTATATTTTGATTCATCCTGTTTCATAATCAACAATAAATCAATCCACTGGGAGTCCTACTCTCACGATGTTTTTTTTGTGCATAAGCCATAGTTGACAGTTGTATCGATTCTGGCATGATTCTCTAAACTTAAACAGTGTATCCTTGTCATATTCTATAAAGCATGAAAAGGAGAGACTAATGTTAAATTTAGTTCTAAGTTTAGAGAATCGTGCCAGAATCGCCATCAGTTTCTAGCGCAACCCTCGAGCGCGTAGGAATTATAAGTCAAGTAAATACATGAGTTTGTCTTCTGTACTATCTATTTTTTGCTACTGGTGTTCGACACGTTGCCTTCCGCATTTAACTTTTAAATGGACATGGTGCAATTTATACTATGACTGCACTTGGACACTGTAATATTTAAATTTCTATAATATCAGTTTGCGTAATTAATAAAAGTTAGTTTCAATAATCAATCTCTAGTAAAAGGTAATGATTGATAATCTGGTTCAGTTGCTTTCCTAGCAACGGTTGTTTTTCTTGAATGCCTGTATTTATCTTAATAAGGCCACATTGTTTCTCACATAGTTAAATGTGACTATGGTTAAAATATTTATGAAAAGATTACCATTTATTTTTCAATGTTTTCCACATGCTACTATGTATTTGATGTGACATGGACTATAGTTAAATTTTACTATTTATCAAACAACACAGCCTCTTTAATAACGATTATAGCTAAGAAAGAGAGTCAGATTAGTACTGGAGGTTGATTATTAAAATTGACACTTTAAGTGCGGCTGTAAATATGACCATGGCTAATTAATTTTTTTAAACTATTTGGGCATTACAAATAATATTTATCCACTAAGTCCAATGTAGGTACTGTAGAATAATAATTTAATCATTATATAACACTATTTATTACTATTCCCAGTAATAGAAAAATATTACGTTTTGTTGCTGCAGCTACTTCCGCCGTAATTTCCGCGGAGGGCGTCGTGGTGGAGGCCCGGGGCCAATGAACCGCGGCGGGTACCGCATGCGCCCGCGCAACCAGGGCCCGGGGCAAGCTCCCGCTGGGCAAAACCAGGGCCAACGCCAGAATGGCCAGGAAGGCGACGCACCCGCCACTGCGTCTTCACCACAGCCACCGCAGCAGGCTAAGCCCAAAACCAACAACAAACCTTCTGGCACTACAATTGAAACAACTACTAATGAGAGCCAGGCCTAAACACCTGCAGCCGCACTGTGTGGCACGCCCTTATGTAGTACATGTTAATTCTAGCTGTGCCACACGTCCATCGCAACTTACTGTCTTGTCTGTTCAACTGATGAGTGTTTCGTTTCCACGTTGCAGACACTGATATTGAAGATCTTCTTCGTAAATTTTAATATCGATTACTTTATCTTGATCGAAATGTATCATGGGGGGGTTTAGTTGGCTTTCCACGCGAGTTGGAATCAGTGGAATGGTGTACAATTATAGAAAAAATATCTTGCACACCATTCTGCTTACTCGCACGACTTGGTGGGACTCCAGCATTACAAAGGAACTGCAGAGGTATCATGGATCAAAGATGTGATATATTTAATTATAAATTAATATATTGTATTATTTAATATTTGTACTTGCAGTATTTTATGTTGTATACCATTACATTGTGAGAAGTTTTTAAAACAGATGAAATTTATCAAAAAAGATATACTTTGGTATACATTGTGTGGATCAAAATTTTATCGCGTATGGCAATCGTGATATCATTGTGCAATTAAATTTACTTATATAAATTGAGAAATGATACGCAGGTTCCAATGCCCCAAGAGAAGTATTTTTTAATATTTTTTTTTTACTTTAAAATTTTACAGTTGCATAATATAACCAAGTTTTTTTTTGTATAATATGAAATTATTAGTACTGTAACTTAACACTCTCAGAAAAAATAAATTTCTTTTTACCTGTGTGAAACGATTTCATTTTCTTTTACAACCCTCCAAAACCACTTACGCTAACACTTACATTTATCTTATCGATGATTCTATCCTCAGAATCAGGACGCTAGTTAACGAGACTATTTCTACCCGGCTCTATGCACCGGTTGCACGGTTTTAAACTGTCTCCGTCCGGTCGTCAGTTCAGTACGGGACACTGGAGGTTTGTTAACGACACAGTCGTTAGCGACGGTTTGGACTCTGTACAAACCGTGAAAAAGCTTAGCCGACACTGAGCCGGGTAGAAACCGTGCATAGACATAGACCCAAGTGCCCTTATAACTACTAGGAAGGCTAATTACTGTCTAGTTGTGCTAGGCAGGTATTCATTGTTTGTACACCTAGATCCACTTATATACATTGCAAAGATCCAGCGATGGATCTTTTTGCACTCTTATGTCCACTTCAATCTCGATCCAGGTTTTCTTGAAAAGTGGTTAGACTAAAGTGTCTAAAAATCCACTACCTAATACTTGGAAAAGTTAAAAAAAATGGAACCGGATGAAACCCTTTCCAAAAGGAATAGAACACATGATTCCAGATCGGAAACTACCGCGATCTTCGGAAAACTACATCAAAATTTTAGGTATAACTAAAAGATCTACCAAATTTTGTATTTACACTTTACGAAAACCATATAGTCCAGTCAATGAAAGCTTAACTTAGAGTTGATCAACTGAAACCAACGCGAAAATTTATGTAAGGGTTCGTAGATTAATATACCTACTAAAATTGCAGGGTGCTGCATTGACGGCAAAGGATGCAAAATGGTGTAAAAACGAGTTTTTCGTCAATATCTCGCGACTGGCTGGAAAATAGAAAAAAATCCCAGTACAAAGTTGTAGAAAATGAAATTTCCTACAAAAAAGGTTTAAACATATTTTCGCGGATCTCCCATAGTTTTTGCACAAAATGTATAAATGCATTCTTTGTGAATATTTTTGTTCGATATTTTATAATAAGAATTAATAATTAACTGTAACTTCTATTAATTATTATTACTAATACTAATTATAATTATTAATAGGTAGGTACATTTTCTAAATAACGAACAAAGTGCGTTTAGGAAGCGAGAAGTTTATTAGTTAGTAAATCGTCCCCTTAGTGCCAAAACCGATTATCTGCACTTTTCCCCTACTAAACTTTTATTATAACAATCGACCCGTCTCATTAAGCCGCATCTACAGGTAAAACCCATTATGCTCTACGACGCATACTTCCTGAAATAGCTAGTAATAAACAGAATAACTGCAAATTATTTCCAAAATTCTTGATTAAAAACCTAATAAACTCATTTTAAACACTTAAGTTTCGGATTTAAACTCATATTTCATCTAGTCACTTAGAGCAAAGGCGGCGTAAGGCGTGGGCGACGTGGGCCACCGCCTACGGCTTCGCGGTACAAGGGGCCTCGCGCCTCAAAAACTTTTATGCATTGCTTAAAAGCGAATTTCTTTTATTTTATTATTTTTTGAAATTCGTCTTCAGGTCGCCGCAGAACAGGGCCTCGCGAAATCTGTCTTGCCCACATCAAATTAAGGTCTTGCCCGCCATTTATCGTGGGAGAGCCACGCAGTAGCTCAGGCTACTGCATGAATGAGCCGGCTCGATCGGAGGAATACCACGACCTCACAGAATACCGGCGTGAAGCAGTACTTTGTGTTACGTTTCGCCGAGTGAGTGAGACTACTGGAGGCCCCCCCCCCCCCTTTTCCTCATGATGGCGCAGTTAAGTAGGATAATACCCCAGGGGGGTACCAGCTGTTTTCACGCTGGAGAATCCCTCTCTGGACGTCCATGCCCAGAACTGTCTCCTGGACGTGGACGTCGAGGCTGCCCTTCTTATTCTGGGGAGAGAGAAACCGCGCTCATTACCGAAACTGTTCGAGGCCAGAGCAAGCGTCATACGACACCTCCTGCCATGTTTAACGTGGATTTCTGCAACATCAGGGGCTTACACTCCAACCTTAATGCTGTTCACTACCACCTTCAGACAGTGCGGCCGGCCTTGCTTTTTTTGACTGAGACGCAGATATCCTCTCCAGCCGACACCTCCTACCTTCAGTACCCTGGGTATACTTTGGACCATTCCTTTGTACCACGGACTGGGGTTTGTGTGTACGTTAAAGAGGGTATCAGTTTCCGTCGCTTCAGCAACTTTCAAGGTAGGGACCTCTCCATCTTATGGTTGCGTGTAGACGTCGATGACCATCCCCGCGTCTACGAATGCCTCTACAGGTCCCATAGCGGAAATACCGAAATAGACCGACTCTATGATCACGTCCAGGTGGCTCCAGACTCCGTGCTTCAGCAGATCCCATCATCTGAAATTGTGATCCTTGGCGATTTCAATGCCCACCACTCCGAATGGCTTGGATCGCCCACTACCGATCATGCAGGCAGATCTGCTCACGACTTCGCCTTGGCCTATGGTCTGACAAAACTGGTCACCTCGCCTACGCGAATCCCAGATGTCGAAGACCATACACCTTCACTGTTGGACCTTCTGCTGACTTCACATCCGGATAATTACAAAGTGTCCATAGATGCCCCTCTTGGCTCCTCGGACCATTGTCTAATCCGGAGTATGGTGCCACTCACTTACTCATCGCGGCCGCAATTTGCTGGCTGTCGTCGTGTGTGGCACTATAAGTCAGCAGACTGGGATGGGATGCGCACTTTCTTTTCATCCTACCATTGGGGCCAGGTTTGCTTCTCGCAGAATGATCCCAACGTCGCTGCCGATTCTGTCGCCGATGTTGTCCTTCAAGGTATGGAACTTTTTGTTCCTTCCTCTGTGGTTCCCATTGGTGGCGAATCCCAGCCTTGGTTTGGTCACTACTGTAAACTGGCATCTCGCCAAAAACAGATGTGTTATCAGGCCTGGGCAAACGCAGCGGCGGTCGGGGATAACAACACTAGCGATCTCAAAAAGAAGTATAACTTGGCCTCCAGGTCCTGCAAAAGAGTAATTGCCAGAGCGAAGTCGGAGCACATTAGCAACATTGGCGAGAGATTAATAAAACTTCCCTCTGGAACACACGCGTTTTGGTCTCTTGCCAAGGCTGTTGATGGAAATTTCTGTAAGCCATCCCTTCCACCCCTGCACAATGGCGACGAATCGATGGCCCATACTGCAAAAGAGAAAGCGGATCTTTTATGCTCACTCTTTGCGTCTAACTCGACTCTAAATGACAGAGGATACATACCGCCGACCATCCCGCGGTGTGAGAGCTCTATGCCGGAGATCCGGTTCACACAAAGCTTAGTGCGTAAAGCACTATTTTCCCTTGTCATCCACAAGTCGAGCGGGCCTGATGGAATCTCACCAATTGTGCTGAAGACGTGTGCTCCTGAGTTGGCTCCGGTACTAACGCGTCTTTTCCGGCTCTCCTACTCTTTAGGTGTCGTTCCGAACTCATGGAAGACAGCTTTAGTGCACCCGATTCCTAAAAAAGGGGACCGCTCACTCCCTACTAATTATAGGCCTATAGCCATCACCTCCTTGTTCTCCAAGATAATGGAGTCCATTATAAATTGCCAGCTCCTGCGGTACCTAGAGGACCACCAGCTGATTACCATACGAGAACTCGCAGCAAAAATTTCATGAGTTAGGTATGTAAGATATGAGTTCCTATGAAAGTTAAATGCTTTTGATGGGTTTTGTTTAAATGCATGGAAATTACACCAATACAAAAAAATATTCTTTTTAATTTTTTACCAAATACTCTTACAGATATATTAAAAATACAGAGTGAGAAAACTTTTTTATTAAATGAATTACGAAGGCAAAGACAAAACTACACTTAGTACAGTTTTACTGAGATATTTGATTATAACCAAACATCAATCATCATTTAGTATTTATAGGGTCAAATAAATAAACTCAAAATTACAAAAAAGAATTTTAAATAAAGTACTTCATTAACTAAATTATATAATAAATTCATACATAGACAATAAAACTTTAAAAATCGAACAATGAAATAACCGAACGCTCAATGAAAGTCTTTCGAAGATAGCTCGACAAAATTAAATAAAGATTCTGACGAAGCAGCCTGTAAAGGATGCGAAACGTCAATAAATAAATAAAGTTTCGTGCACTAACCCGTGAAAAACTAGTTTTATTTAGTAATAATCATAATTAATCTTTATTGTTATTTCCAAAACACAACCAATGGGTACTGTAAATATTTTATTTATTTTCTCACAATAGTAAAAAAACTGAATCCTTGTATCCTTTGCTCCACTCAGGATTCCTATCCTATAAAATCGTTCGTTGCTACAGTAGGGATTTTATATTTGCATTTATTGTATAATCAATAATTGCATATTAAAGTATCAATTTGGTAAAGCGCGCTATACTGAACATCGCCGCGTCGATGTCTCGCTCGTGCGACTCGCACACGCTCGCGGCCCTATTTACCTAAACTAGAGCGGCGCAATTTTGTAAAAGGGCTCATAAGACGATGGAGTGGACGACTCTATATTTAAAAATGAGTAAAATTTCAAAAAAGTATACACTTTTATTTTCATGAACAATTCGAAATTCGAATTCAATAAACATTTTTGTGGCCAACATTCTAAACACAAAAGAAAAGTTTTTACTGTGTGACAATACTTATGACTTGACTAGGTAATTTGAACTTCGCCCCTCTCCGGCGTAGACGGGTGGGCCGAAGAAGGCAGGCAGCGGTGACTGCCGGTCTTCGACGGCCCTAAGGTGGCCTGGGCGCGGCCTGACCAGCCGCGCGCCCTAGGTGCCGCTCCGGCATAGGCCACCACGTCTGGGGACTGCCTAGTACCCTAGCGCAGTCCCGCTGAGGCGCGTCGCCCGGTCCACTCGTTGGGCCGGGCCTGCCCGGGGGCGGGCTCGGAGTTGTGGCGCACGCAGGTGCGTCGGCCCCGAGACGCCCCTACATGGGCGTAGGAGGGTACCGGGGGGTTTTAGTGGAGTAGGATCAGTGTGGCCTTCCGCACTGGTCCTGCTTTAGTAGGGTCGGCACTGTTTCTCGTGCCGGCGAGTCCCACACACGCCGTGCGCCTAATCAGCGTCACGGTATGGTGCGTAACTGCATTTCCCCTCGACACAAAAAAAAAAAAAAAGGTAATTTTTACTTAGAATTCTTAGCAAAAAAATAAAAAAAAATACTTATTTAAAGTCTTTACCTATGATATTGCCCTTCTGCCCTACTGGCTGTTTCAAGTCATTTTTTTTATTTTTTTGCTAAGAATTCTAAAAATCAAAGGTAAAGACCTATTTATATATATCATAGTCCCATATATTAAGTTTAAGTTAATTAAGTAGTAAGTACTTCAATTTGCTTCGCTTTGAAAAGGATGGAAAACTACGGTAGAAGAGAAAGACGTGTCCACACAGCTTATCGCCATTATTCCCGCTTAATGACATAAAAGCTATATTTCGTCGGTATTCCGTACCTCTTTGTATGAGAAGGCCAATTTAGTAAAATGAATGTGTGATATTCGACTCAAAAGTAAAACGACTGAAATTTTAAATCTTTATATTAGTAGAATGTCTGAAAATGTATAAACGGCATGTTAACCAAAAAATTGGTACACAGACGTTACATAAACCAAAGATAAAATACTGGTCGGTAAACTATTTATAAGTAAATTTTTCTCCTTGGATATATCTATCTATCGATATAGGAATCTAAGGGCCAAGGCACATTGCCTATTTTTAACACGCTTTTTATTAGGTCGACCTGTATGTAACATGTAATGGAATCTAGGGTAATTAATTTAACCATCTTTCAAGGATCGTAACGTAATGAAAATTGGCAGCTGTATGTAGTTGTGATGATAATACAATAATATGGTACTGTCGAACTGATCTGATGATGGAGCTGGAAGATATGAGCTGGAACTTCATGATGGAACATCGTATCATAGTTGTTTTTGGATTTCTTAGAAATGTCTTGTAATGAACGATTAGGTTTCAAGGTCTGATGATGAAGCTGGAAGATAGGCACTGGCATTGCATGATGGAATGGCCACGTAATGGACTTTGAACACGATCAGGTTTCAAGGTTATAACAAACCTATAATATATTGAGTGTAAATATTGTCATAGGAGCTCGATGGCGCAAGTGGTTAGCGCGTTCGGCTGCGATCGTTGAATTTAAGCAACTTTCGCAGTGGTCGGTCATTGGATGGGTGACCAAAAATCTTCTATCTCGAGTTCCTCCGTGCTTCGGAAGGCACGTTAAGCCGTTGGTCCCGGCTGCATCTGCAGTCGTTAGCACCCGCCAATCCGCATTGGGCCCGCGTGGTGGGTCATGGCCCAATCTCCCTATTCCATCCATAGGGAAGGCCTGTGGCCCAGCAGTGGGGACATTAATAGGCTGATGGTGATGATTGACATAGGTGCCTGTATAAATTTATATTGACCTGTACATGGAGAGTGTAAATAGAATCATATTGATATATCCAGGATTTATCTATATACGATGTATATTGACGTGTAAATAGGGTAGTTAAAATCCCACCCAAGCCAAGGTGAGAAACGTGCCGAGGGCTGAATGGTATGTTAAGGGTGGTTAATAATATCATGTCGCTTGAAGCCTTGAGGGGCGGCGACCTGGACAGCGAGCATCTCGCAATATTGCTGACTTTTCATCAAATGCTACTGTTAAATATAAGTAATTTAAAGATCATTTTGGGAGCTTAGGTGCGTATCCTACCGGCTGCGCCATGTTAATATAAGTAAGTAAGTAATTTAAAGTAAAAGTTGTTTAAATAAAACCATTGCGTTAATTTGCGTCAACTCTGTCAAGTGACAAAAATATATTTCTTTATAAAAAGCATGACAATGAAAAAAGTTTCTAATATAACAGCTACCGGCGAGTTTGCGCTTGAAAAAGCATTGCGTATTTATCCAACAAACGACCAAGTAGAGAAGCACTACAATGAAATTCTTAACCTTTACGAAAGAAAGGTACTCGAATGTGCGTCATAAAAGCTCAAGACCAACTTATTGCGGGACCTGAAACCTTAAAAAATACTTCATTGGAGTCCATTATTCCCAGCGATATAAATGTAACGGGTGGACTACCGAGTAAATTAAGAATTTTCAAAGGGGCTAAAATCATGTTGCTATCCAATATAGACGTGGAGAAGGGGCTAGTGAATGGGAGTATCGGATTCATCTCGGACAACGTCTGGCCGCACTTTAGACGCGACCAAATGTATGAAACCGACATACCGTCCATCAAAGTTAATTTCGGAAACGACGGTGTGCACACCTTATTCAGCCTATAGGCATCCAGTTCCCAGCCAAGTAATTTTAAGTTGCGCATCTTCTGTGCGCAAGATGCAAGGCTGTACGGTAGACCACGCAGTGGTGTACTTAGGGTCCCGCACTTTTGCGACTGGACAGACGTATGTGGCCCTAAGTAGAGTAAAATCACTTTGTGGTCTCCAGATTGAAGAGCTGCATTATTCTAAGCTGACAGGTAAAATACCATGCAATACAGACGCACTAGCGGAGATGGAGAGGATGCGGGCTCATTCGCCTACTTAAAATAAATGTGAGTATAAATTAAAAAAAAAATGTTATCAAAGACTGAAAAGTATAACATAAATTAATAGTTTAAAAAAACTAGAAAACCACGCTTTTAAAAATGCACGTAAAAACCAAAAATAAATTATGGCTCGTTCAAGTTGTCTCTATTTCAGGGCAGAAGTGTAAACTATGTGCTTTTAATTATTATATTTGAAGTTTGTGAGTGTGTATGTTTGTTACTTCTTCACGTCTAAACGGCTGGAGCGATTTTAATAAAATTTGGTATGGAGTTAGCTGACACCCTGGATAAACACATAGGCTACGTTTTACTGCGGGAAAATATCCCTAATAAACACAGCTAGTCAAATATAATAATTAAAAGCACATAGTTTACACTTTAGCCCAGAAATAGAGACAACTTGAACGATCCATAATTTATTTTTGGTTTAGACGTGCATTTATAAAAGAGTGGTTTTCTTGTTTTTTTTAAACTATTAATTTATTACTCAGTCAGGGAAGGCATACCAACAAGAGAAATTGGTACTATTCTCCTGAAATCAAAGCCTATTCTAACTCATTTGATTTACGAGTATTATACAAAAGGTTTTAACTATTTTTAGGGGTAGGATTTCTTTTTAAGTTATGAAGAGAACTTTTGGAATTTAGTTTAATTCCATTTTATTCAATGATAAATCACTTTATTACTTTTTAATAAGTAGACCTATGTGGTTGGTACAAGTTAATTATAAAAAAAAACTGTCTACCCACAAAGTATTGTTATAATCTAGTGAGACACGTGTATTAACTCAACACAACAACGTGGAAAGATAACATTATTTACGACATCGCATGGTGTAAAACGAAAACTAAGTACTAATGTTGCATACGGAAATACGGACACCATTCACCGTGTGATTGCCAATGCTCTATTCCGTCGTCATATAGACAGTACTGCCTTGAGATCCAAACGCGGTGGTAGTTGGAACTTGTGTTATAGCTTGCCTGTCAGTCACGCACGGCCCTTCGCCGCTAACGTCTAGTAAAAGTGATAAACTTTATAAAAATTGGGTATTGTTTAAAATTCTCTTTCGTAGACGTAGCAAATCAAGCAATTCGTCAAATAAAACAGGTATAAAAACTTTCCATGCAATGTTATGAGTGATATCCAAACAACATCAGCTGTGCGAGAAGGCAGGCTTTTTACAATATTGGGTTTAGTGGTAAGTATGCATTTCTTATGATCTAACCGTTTAATGTAATGTTTTCAATAATTATACTCGATTATACTGAAATTATTTATTTAACATCGGAAATGGTTGAACCGATTTCGATGAAACTTCGCGCTAAACTGTACTTCCAGGGCCCAAGTGGTGATAATTCACACTATGTTAGATTAGGTTAGTGTAGTGACCATAACGCGTGACCCGAGCGAGCGTGCTGCGGCCGCTGACGGCGAAGCGCCAGAATTCATTTTTAAAAGACCTTTTCTACAAATAAATAATCAAGTACCACCAGGTACCACCTGGCCTTGGATGTACAGTTTTACCAAACTTCGTACCAATTTTTTGCCAAGCTTTTCAATAACTAACATGAGTTGTAATTGTTTACCAACTGTCATTATAATTAAATTACTATATTTATAAAAGGAAATAATTATCTGTTACTTACCAACATCTACGTTTATAAGTCCTTTACGTTACTTACGTTCGGTCCTGTAGTTATATTTTAGTATTTGTGTCGAAATTGGTAATGTAGATTAGCTTTATTTCTACCTGATTAAATATAAAACTGAAAACAAACTAAATGTGTCAATGAATCTGCGCAAAGAATAATATCGTATTTATTTTTAACGGCTATTATACTAGGTAACCAATTTTAAGGGCCCTATCCCTGTAGAAAGAGTGGGCTTGCCCCTAGCTAGGATAGCAATTATAACAACGGCCTATCAATCGGACCTTATCTCAGTCTGAAAGTAAAAGTTGTCTGTGTTAGGGTCCGATTGATAGGGCGGTGTTTTAATTACTACCGTAGTTAGCACCCTTTCGATAAGGCCCTTAAAATTGGGTAGTGTAAATGCCGTTTAAGGGAATAAGGGAGATCGGGTCGCGCCGATCGCCCTAGGGTGGGTCCCTTACTCCCTAACTCAAATTACACAACCCTAAGTCAGGGAGGAGATCGATGGCGCAAGTGGTAAGCGCGTTCGGCTGCGATCGTTGACGTTAAACCTCTTTCTGTGTTCTGTGCGTTAAACATTTTTCGTGGTGGTCGGTCATTGGATGGGTGACCAAAAATTTACTATCTCGAGCTCCTCCGTGCTTCGGAAGACACGTTAAGCCGTTGGTCCCAGCTGCATCTGCAGTCGTTAGCACCCGCCAATCCGCACTGTGCCCGCGTGGTGGGTTATGGTCCAATCTCCCTATTCCATCCATAGGGAAGGTATGTGCCCCAGCAGTGGAGAAATTAATAGGCTGATACTGATAATGAAGTCAGGGTTGGGGTCCCTTAAAATTGGGTAGTCTAATAGGCCTTTTAAGTTTAAATGAAAAAGTCTAATCAAATGCAAATGTTTATGCGGACATTCGACGTCTGTTATTAACTACGTAACCTTCATTAGAATTTCACCCGAATGAATGAACAATAGATTTTCATATATTTTCTACAACATCATTACGAAACTGTTAATTAAAAAATATTTACCCACCCATTAACACCCGATTATCAGGCGAGTAGTGACTTTCCCCCATCTCAAAAGTACAAATGGTTTGTCCATGACAAATAAGTGTAGGTAGGTGTAGTTTAGAATCTTATACTCCTTCATTGTGGTATGTTCCAGATTACAGGAAAATAGCTTCACATTTGGCTGCATTTTTAACAAATATAAATATGTTAAACATATTGTGTTAAACATAATATTAAGGATGTCTCAATTAAAGTGCACTTTTTCATTTTAAAATAAAAACAGGTATGTTTTTAAAACAATGAAACATGTGATCTTTTTGGATTGTAAAGAAGTAGGTACATGTTTTATTCGCCAAATGGTCCCCATGGCTCTAATTACAGGCCATTACTCTTTTAATGAAAACTTCCATGATTTTTTCACAGACACGTGACTGGATCTCAACGATGACGCGTTGGATCCTGGATTTGAGCAAAAGAATTGTTTCCGGTTTATTCGCATAAACCCGTGATTCCAAAAAAAACCATAATGAAATTCGGAAGGGTTAAAATTATTAAAGCTGAGGGTCGTGTAATTAATTTCATTACCAAACAATAGTTACGTCGACATACTCTGAAAGTATTTCAATATATTAAAAAAACTCTATCAGTAATCTTTGCTCTGACTTACTTCATTTGTGAATATTAATCTTTGTAGGTACCTCTCTATTTTCTTTCCTTTATTCCGAGTGTTAATCAAATCAAAACGGCTCCGTCTAACCGCTAAAGAATTGCATTGTGTTAATATATAAAATATCATGTTTTAATCACGTGTAGACCTGAATGATGAAAACATGAATTATGTATAATCATTTATTAGTGTTTATGCTAGGGAGGCTGGTATGGTAGGAATTGGTTAGGAACAAAAAAATATTATGCTGTCCATGTAATCTGTAATTAAACATTAACTAAAATGTCTTGATATCTAGACATGAAATCAAAACATTGAAAAATTTAAATAATTCACAATAACTTAATGTCACGTAGGTATTAATTTTATACTTCTAATAAAGAGGCTTTTTTAACATCTCTTCGATGGCTGCGTCAGCATTGCGATGGCGGCCTCTGTTCGTAACTGCCCGCAACCCATGGTGAAACATCTCTGCCATTGTTCGCATTGTAGTCTTCCTGTGAATGTGTTCTTCCGGTGGCACTTCTGGGGCAGTCGCGGGGTTCTGTTAATACAATAATTAATACGGTTAATAATAATAATAAACGTTTTTAACTTGTAATCAAAACCGATATCGTTAGAACTACAATAACGATGCTAAAGGCCACAGTCAGAGAAGTCAATTAGCTTTTATTTAATGGTGTCGCATATTTTTAGATAACGATAAGATGGGACAGCACGTGACTTAATGAAACATTAAATATATTTAACATTCCGGAGTACGGCTGTAAAATTTTAGATTTTAATGGACCTGTTATTTACGTTAATTCTTATTTAAGTAATCTATAAAAGTTCTTCGCGATTAATAGTGACCTGCTTCCGCTTCGCATCAGTTTTCGCTATAGATTTTATTCTGGGATGTGTATATAAAAACCTTTGGTGAAAAACGTTGAGGAAACCGTATGAAAAATCCGTTCAGTACTTTTTGAAATCATCGAACATTTACATACTTACTGATAGACACTTGGCTTAGGTAGACCGCTTTGTTTTATAATTTGTGCTCAGAGTTTTTTTTTTCAATTATTAAAACTACCTAGTTTACTTCTATTTGCTCACATTAGGGTCAAAAGATGACGACTCCGCTGTTCGAAACGTTACCTCGTTGCCTTCGATTCGAGCTGCTTGTGTAGGTACTTGCAGCTCAGGCTCGTCAGAAGACGAACTCGATACCTTGTTGAATTTTATTATAGGTACATATTTTGTTAAATACTATTATTTACAAAAAAAAATAAGTATAAGGTGTGAATGAATCCCAAGTCGGGGGATCCACAACAAGTAATCCAAAACTACAAAATATTGTCATCAATATTTTTACTTCAACGTCACCCAAACCAGGCATTAGGTACTTTTTCCTGGTGAAGAGATCTAAGTTAAGAACAAGACCACGTTATGAAATGAATGAAAGAAGAGATATAGGCAGTAGCGGTGGATAAGATAGTAGTTAATTAAGTAGGAACACGGACGACCTTCTCTGTAATCATCAACTTAATAACACCTAAGTGATTACCTTACCACCACGATACACTGAGAATAAAAATAAGAAACATGTGTCAAAAAAGAGTGACGAATAATGAAAAAAAGACAGGTTGCACTCCAGGAGTGCCAGCAGATGTGAAAACTTGAACATTAACGTTCTGCTTTTTTGATATTTTGGAATGGTTAGGGAATAATTTTGCACAAATTGCTTTAATTATCAGTATAAAAGTACTATCATTTATGTGGTAGAATACAGTATATATTTATTGCGCTATCGTACACAAACATGACAATTTATATTACACTAGCGGCCCGCCCTCGCTTCGCTTCGGTGTAGAGCTGAAGTGTAGACTACAGTTTTTGTTCTCAGGCTTGTATTATACACAATGACATTCATCTATGATTCTTCTTATACCTGCATGCAAAGTCTCAGCCCGATCGGTTTAAAATTGACAAAGTTTCATACAAACTTTCATTCCCTATTTTATCCCCTTGGGGGTAGAATTGATCAAAATCCTTTCTTAGCGGATGCCTACGTCATAACATCTACCTGCATGCCAAATTTCAGCCCGATCCGTCCAGTGGTTTGGGCTGTGCGTTGATAGATCACTATGTCAGTCAGTCACCTTTGAGTTTTATATATATAGATTCAAAAGTTTATCTCTCAGAAAAATCAACTTACATGAATCACATTTAATTTAAGATGCGGTCTAGCGACATCTATTGTAAAAAAACATGCATTTTCTTCGCAATAAAGCTGCCACCCGGAAGTCCTAGATAGAGACTTAATTGAAAGTCAACAACCTTTCCAATTTTATTGTTTTCGTCTTACGAATTTTCTATTAGGTCACGTGTCCTGACGCGAGTTTAACAGTTTTTACCCATTACAAAAAAAGTGTACAACGCCGCTAAAGAAGTTTTCACTTCAAGAATATGCTTTAGGAGACCATGAAAGACAGATTAGTAAAACAGAAAAGATGACCAACAGGTATAAGTGACTTTCTCTTGACATTCTCCGTGTCGTTCGGAGCCGAGTCTGGTGGCTTCAACACCGGATCTATGCACAGCCTGTTGTCTTCGTTAGCGTTGAATATGAAGAAGGAGTTCGCGGATGTTGGCAGGTACCGCAGCATGCAGTGGCTGGCTGCGAGGAGGACACATAGTATCACCGCGATCACGGCCACGACGGGAGCGTAGCCAATGCGTTCTGAAGGTGCCTCACATTCTGATTTCCTTTCGTCAAACCTTTAACAAAATTATTCTTAATTGTAACAATTAAAGTAAAAATAATCTAAATATATAAGAGAAGAAACTGACTGAAGGCACGGGACTGATCTAGAGACTCCTTTGGCATTTAGG